GGGCCGACGGGGCAACTGACCCTGCGGGGACCGCCAGTCAGGCCTCCCTCTCCTCCCTGATGGCTTGGATTACCAGCTGCGGGATTGCCTGGATGACGTCCTCCAACGTCCGCTGCATTTGCCGTCTCTCTCGATCCGACACCTCCATCCACTGGGCTAGTTCCAACCCCTCCTCCGGGGACACCTGGCCACTTCTCACCTTCGTCCTCTCTGTCACCCATGACCCGGGTAACAGCTCGAATGGTGCCCCAAAGGGAGGGGAACCCCCCCTGCCCCGGAAAATCCCCGGTCAAATCAGCTGTCCCTCGGTGGTCCCTGCGTGAGCATATAAGTCTCGGCAGTAGAGTCCGGGTGAAACTGGCTCCAGCTGGAGCTTGGCCAATAACCATGGCTGGGTGGCCGCCTCGGCCCCGTCGGGGTCAGGAACACCAAGGTCGATGTCGCCTTAGGAACGGCTCCCGTATCAGTGGCAGTTACCGGCGGCGTGGTAGTCACCGGCACCGTCGACTGGGTCGTGGGGGTCCCCTGACCAGTCGTGGTAGGAGTCGGGACCCCCCTGGAGTCGTCTTTCTCAGGAATCGGTTTCTCCTCTCCATCGCTCATCTCGGTTGTAGAGAGATGCACGGAGATAGAGAATGGAGGATTCTTAACAGAATGTCAGAACCCACAGCCAACAACGAAGTACACGCATTCAGGAATGGTTATACTTTTATTGCAGAGCTAAAGATGCAGTATCATAGGCACTGTTGAGAATGGCGGCGGCCCCATAGGCATAATAGGATATAGGGCATTTGTATGCGCCCCCGCACAGCACTGGCCAATTAGGCACCCTCCCGCACGCGGGTTAAGCTTAGGGACCGTTAGGTAGCTGTAGCTGAGAACTAACACTCTCCCACGACATCTAGGGGAAACCTAGACAATACAACTTCCTCCTACACATCTGTATAGATAAGTGTTTCGGCGCACAGCAGCAAAAGCACAGAAAGGAATGCAGTAGCAATTAACCTGAAAGGGAATGATGCAACAGCAATTAACCAGACACAGACCAACCTGCCCAACTTCCATGGCAGCATAGCTGACACTCTGTCTCTACGGCCGAGCATAAATATCCACTCACTGCCTAGACAGGCGGGGTCTGGGGCACCCAACCAAGCCTTCCGGCAAAGTGGTCTGACTGCGGCACTTCCTCTGAAGCAATCAAAGCCATAGACATCATGCTGTGCTTTCTGCTCCTTGGCAGGAGGGACCTCAACTCTACTGGAGATACCTTTCAGTGTCTGGCAAGGGGCTGTTTTTTACACACACCCCTCCTGAGAGCCAGTCTGGTGTCGTGGTTAGGAGCGCAGACTCTAATCTGGGAGAACCGGGTTTTATTCCCCCACTCCTCCATTCGCAGCTGCTGGATGACCTTGGGCAAGTCATAGTTCTCTTAGAGCTGTTCTCTCAGCCCCACCTACCTCACAGGGTGTCTGTTGTGGGGAGGGGAAGGGAAAGGAGTTTGTAAGCCACTCTGAGTGAAGGGCGGGGTATAAATCCAATCTCCTCCTTCTCCTCCTCCTCTTCTTCTAATTTATTTTTATTACCAATTTTTTCAACAGACCTCCTCCTCCTCCTTTTTTTGTGATTATGAGGGTCATCCACAAGAAGAAACAGGACAAGTGCTCTGGCACACACATAGTTTAGTATTGACCCAGACATAGTTGCTTTACCATGCTACTGTTGATGTCCAGGAGACAAACTTAGATCTTCCAGGCTTTATGTTCTGTTGTGTCAGGAGGAGGGCATTTTTCACAGCTCTTTTCACGGCAAAGGATGAGATGGTTGGACAGTGTCATCGACGCAACGAACATGAAATTGAGCCAACTTCAGAGGACAGCGGAAGACAGGAGGGCCTGGCGGGAGCTGGTCCATGGGGTCGCGAAGAGTCGGAGCGACTCAACAACAACAACAACAACTGTGCGACTCAACAACAACAACAACAATGCTCTGTACAGATGCTTGAGGGGCAGAGCCCACTCTGGTGAAAGATCGGCTTTCTCCAAAAGGGCAGGCTCCATAATGCAGCCATGTGCATGGAATAGTGGGGGGCGGAAGGCAAAGAATAACAATTGCTCCAGACGCCCATGCTTAGATCATTGGAGGACCAACCTGTGCAGTGGCCAGGACAAGAAAGAAGGTACCTTCTGGACCAGTTGTCAGAGATGACTGTTGAGAGCACCCTGCTGGTGGCTGCATTCCTCCTTGGCCAGAGAGCCTCTCAACTCCAGCTCAGACTCGTCTCAGAGAAGACTGAGGTGTAGGAGGCCGACGATACAGCCAGCCAGGGAGTGCGGAGTCAGCCTGTCCTGCCATATGTGGGCTTTTGTTCTCCCGAGAGGAGCAGCTCAAGCTTGGGACCAGTTTACAGAGTCCAGCCAGCTTTGGTGGCTGTTGTTGTTCAGTCGCACAGTCGAGTCCGACTCTTCGCGACCCCATGGACCAGCTCCCGCCAGGCCCTCCTGTCTTCCGCTGTCCTCTGAAGTTGGCTCAATTTCATGTTCGTTGCGTCGATGACACTGTCCAACCATCTCATCCTTTGCCGTCCCCGTCTTCTTTGACCTTCAATCTTTCCCAGCATCAGGGTCTTCTCCAGTGAGTGCTCCCTTCTCATTTGGTGGCCAAAGTATTTGAGCTTCAGTTTCATTATCTGGCCTTCCAGGGAACAGTCAGGGTTGATTTCTTTTAGGATTGACTGATTTGATCTTCTTGCAGTCCAAGGGACTCTCAAGAGTCTTCTCCAGCACCATAGTTCAAAAGAATCTATTCTTCGGCGCTCGGCCTTCCTTATAGTCCAACTCTCGCAGCCATACATGACTACTGGGAATACCATTGCTTTGACCATGCGGACTTTTGTTGGCAGGGTGATGTCTCTGCTTTTTATCATGCTGTTTAGGTTCGCCATCGCTTTCCTCCCAAGGAGTAGGCGTCTTTTAATTTCATGGCTGCTGTCACAGTCTGCGGTGATCTGGGATCCCAGGAACGTGAAGTCTGTCACCACTTCCACGACTTCCCCTTCTATTTGCCAAGGAGTGATGGGGCCGGATGCCATGATCTTAGTTTTTTTGATGTTGAGCTTCAAGCCCACTTTTGCGCTCTCCTCTTTTACCCTGAGCAAGAGGCTCTTAAGGTCCTCTTCACTTTCTGCCATCAGAGTGGTATCGTCTGCATATCTGAGGTTGTTGATCTTTTCCCCAGCAATCTTAATTCCGGCTTGTGATTCATCCAGGCCAGCATTTCGCATGATGTACTCTGCATATATATTAAATAAGCAAGGTGACAATATACATCCTTGTCGTACTCCTTTTCCTATGCTAAACCAATCAGTTGTTCCATATCCGGTTCTAACTGTCGCTTCTTGGCCCTTATACAGGTTTCTCAAGAGACATGTGAGGTGGTCTGGTACTCCCATCTCTTTAAGGACCTGCCATAGTTTGTTGTGATCCACACAGTCAAAAGCTTTAGCAGGGTGGCTGTACCCGTTTCTTTCTTGAGAGGTGGGATGTGGTCGCAGCCATGCTGTGTGCAAGTCTAGATTAGACTACTGTGTTGCATTCTGCAGGGCTCTGTCTTTGAAGAGGGTGCAGAAGCTTCCCTGAGAATGAAATGCAGCAGCCACATTGTAGGCATTGATCACCTGACCAGCCTTTGTCAGGTGTCCACTGCCCTGACCTGGAGGGCCCAGGCTGGCCTCATCTTGTCAGGTTTCAGATGCTCAGCAGGGCCAGCCCCGGTGGGTACTTGGATGGGAGACCACGCCCAGGGAGTCCAGGGTCACTCTAGGCAAAGGCAGGCAAAGGCAAATCGCCTCTGCTCATCTTTTGCCTTGAAAACCCTACAGGGTTGCCGTAAGTCGGCTGCAGTTTGATGGCCCTTTCCACCATCAGCGGCATGAAAAGAATCAGACTAGTTGCCTAGGTACTTCAGGGCCCGTGTCAGACTCGGGTTCGCCTTCTGTTATGCTTTCTATACCTGTAGTATTAATAACCTGTTTTAGGTACCCCACACCCCTGTTCCCTTCCCCCCAGATGTACGCTTATCGCTCACCCTCACTGACATTCCTGGTGGGAGGGAGGGGGGAGGGAGACTGTGGGAGGGAGGGGGACTGTGTGAATGTCTGTAGTTTAGGGAGGCAACACTGGTAACCTTTTTCCCAAGCAGCACCTCGCGGATCTTTCACATGAGAGTGTCCTTGAAGAAGATAAGACTTTGAATGGCTAGTTGAACCACTGTAACTGTCCGGGTTCTTAGAATTGCTTATACTTATGACTGTGTGACGTATGCCTGGAATGTGGACATTAGTTATACACTGGGTTCCCTGAGGCTGGACGAGTATTTGTCAGAGATGCTCTAGGCTGGTCCTGCATTGGGCAGGGGGCTGGACGAGATGGTCTGTAGGGCCCCTTCCCCACTCTGTGTGATTCTATGATTCCGTCTTCTGGTTGAGCCCCTTCACTTGGACTCTGAAAAGGTCACGCCCTGGAAACCTTGTTGACCTCTGAGGTGCTGCTGCTGGATTCGAGCAGGGCTGTTCTACTGCTGACCAATATGGCTTCTCTCTGAAACCCTCTGGTTGGGATCCTTTCCCCCAAATCTCATGTCTGAGAACTTCAAAGAGTAATTATTGGGAAGGAAGGCAAAGCTTTTATACACCCTTTGTTGCTTCGCCTTGCCTGGTCTTCCAGTTTATTCACCAACAGTGGATTGGTGATTGCCATGTGGATGAGCAACTGGAAGCTGAAGCACTCCTCAGAAGAGTGGGTCTCCCAAAGGGAAGAATCCCTTAGAGTCGGGCTTGTCAGTGCTTAAGACAGCATGTCCCTGTTTCAGGACACATCCAGGTTGCCCCCAGTGGGCAGGCACTGGGGCAGGAAGGACGGGGGCTCGTCCCTTTATTTGGGGATGCCGTGGGTCTCCTCGCGTGGCACGAGGGGGATGATGCAGCCATTGTCCTTTCTGTCCAGCTCTCCAGGAGAAGAGGGCTTCCGTGCGGCTGAGTCCGTGGCCAGCCAGCGGATGAGTCTCAGCACAGGCGAGGACAGCACCGGCAGCTGGTCCAATCTGAGCTTTGAAGACGAGCAGCCCGATGAGAGCAGCAGCTTTCTCCACCTCAGCGAGAGGTAACTGTGGAAACCTGCTTCTCCCGTGTTTTCGCTTTTGAGGTGGTTTCCTGTATTTTTTGACTTGCATTCACCTTGAAGAATGTGTTATTTTCAGTGGGGGAAGATTCAACATAGCCATAAAGCATAACAGTAGAGTATAATCGATGAAACCTAATATTCCGATTCATGTGTAATTAAATAAAACCCATGGCTTACAAGTGTGGCTTTCTGAAGTATTAACTGTGTGGGGTCTGATGCTGTAAGGTTTCATTGTGCTTTCTTATGTGGATACACAGACAGCGCGGAACAAGTCCAGACAACCAAAGTTTTTCCGTGCCATCCAAAATACTCAGACTGCGTAACAAATTTCAGTATTGGGACTACCATGCCAATGGCACTTATATGACTTGTAGCATGGCAATCTGTTTTTTGTGGACATTAAGTAATTCTGTTCATGCATCTATTTATTTATTTGTTTGGATATTCATACTCAACTTTTCTCCCCATTGGAGACCGAAAGCAGCTTACAGCAACATTCCCGTCTCCATTTTATTCTCACAACAACCCTGTGAGGTAGGTTCGGCAAAGAGAGCGCAGTTGGCCCAAGGTCACTCAGCAAGCTTCCATGGCAGTGTGAGGATTCAAATCTGGATCTCCAAGATCCTGGCCTGTCAGTCTAACCACTACATTTTATTTATTTATTTATTATCCCGCCCTATCCCGAAGGCTCAGGGCGGCTAACAGGGGCACCAAGTGCCAAGTAAAATGGTATCATATAGCATATAGTTTAAAACAAAAACATATAATTAAAACAATCACATATAGTTTAAAACCATAAATTACAATATACAGCAAACTTCAGCAAGAGGGAAGATCTTAACCTCACCTAACTACCGGTAGTCTCATGCTCAAAGCCGTTTCCAGTGCCACAATCCACTGGATCATTCAAAGGGTTGCCTGGTCCACCCAGGACACTGGCAGAGGAGGGCAGGGAGGTAGAGTTACCAGATCCAGGTTGGGAAGCCACCCGCCAACACAGCTAACTGGAATTCCCACCCTTCGACTCAGTCCTTCTCCTGAACCTTACGCAAAACCTTCCCGGCTTGCGAACGCTTAAGCGCTTTTCAGCTGGCAAAACAAGTGGGGGTTTTGGCATCAGACGCTGCTGCCGGCACGCCAGGTATCTGGGCTCCTGCCCTTCCTTGCTGGGCCGAGGAGAGGCTCAACCTCGGGGCCTCCAGTCTGTGAAAACACAAAGAGCCAGCCCAGGATGATTATCAGCGGCCTCACCTTCCCCTGAGCACACAGTGTGGAGGAGGTGGGGCAGGGGAGAAGGCCAGGCCCTCCCCTCCCTCCTGCCTCTGCTCAGCTCCTGGCTATAAATCCTGCACTCAGCCAGGCTCTGCGTCCCCACACCTCTCAGCTCTGAGCAGACTCTCGGCCTCTCCGCTCCTCCGCCCTACCTGTGCTGGCACCATGAGCTACTCTCGTTCCACCACCATCCACTCCAGCACTTCCAGGCCCGTGACCACCGCCACCACCCACAGTGTCATGTCCTCCAAGAGGTATGCCCCTATGGCCAGCGCCGCCAGCGTCTATGCCGGAGCCGGCGGCTCTGGCTCTAGGATCTCGGTCTCCAGGTCTTCCAACCTGGGCTCCAGCTACGGAGGGGGCATGGGCTCCAGCTACGGAGGTGGCATGGGAGGGGGCTACAGCAGCAGCTTCGCCTTCTCTGGCTCCGGGGTGGTCCAGAATGAGAAGGAGACCATGCAGGACCTGAACGACCGCCTGGCCAGCTACCTGGAGAAGGTGCGCAGCCTGGAGGCCGATAACCGCAAACTGGAGATCCAGATCCGAGAGTACATGGAGAAGAAAGGGCCCAGCACCCGGGACTGGAGCCGCTACTTTGACATCATCGAAGACCTCAAGAATCAGGTGAGAAGAGCCCTCGGCCGGCTTACCTGGCGCTTCACCTCTATCCCGTAGGGGCATTGAAAATCTGCATGGGTGCCAAATTGACTCAGCATATACATGTAGATTTAAAACTCTTGTCTTGCCTGCAAGCCACATTTCTGATTTGTAAGCCCTTTTAATCTTAAGTGCTTATGTGCTGCTGGGCGTCTATTCACGGGCAGAGGAAAGTCCATTTGCACATACTCAATGGGATTTCTCCCTGATTGCATCGTATGTTGAACGGCAGGGATCCGCCGGGGTGTGTGTGAGTGAAAACGGTTCAACCTATAATGACGGTCCCAAGAATAATTGCGGATCTGATTGAATCGGGTGGGCCCAAGTAGCCGTGTTGATCTGATGCAGCAGAACAAAGTTTGAGTCTAGTGGCAACTTTTAAGACCAACAAAGTTTTATTCACGGTATAAGGAACAGTATCCAATGAAGTGTGCTTGCACACGAAATGAATAACACTTTGTTGGTCTGAAAGGTGCCCTTGGACTCAATGCTCCCTCAAAGCTGTGGAGTCTTGTGAGCAAAAATTCTACTTTGCGAGCTACTGGCCTTAAAGTTGTGAGTGAGTGATTTGGCCACTGCACAAATTAGTTTGCTCTGGAGCCAGAGGCTAAAAAACTGTGACCTAGCTTAGAGGGAACTCAGCTTAGAGGGAACACTGACTCAGACTTTGTTCTACCGATCTGATTGTTTCTGATCCCTCTTAGAAACAGCACTCTGCACACGCTTGGGAATCTTTGTCTCTCTATCTCTCTCTTTTGCCACCAAGTCGCAGCCGACTTATGGTGACCCTATAGCAGTGACGGCGAACCTTTTAGAGACCGAGTGCCCAAACTGCGACCCAAAACCCACCTATTTATCGCAAAGTGTCAACAGGGCAATTTAACCTGAATACTGAGGTTTTACTTTAGAAATAACAACTCATACATAACTTAAGATGATCCAAACAAAGTAAGGAAAGCAATCCCAAATGCTTTCACTTACTTAAAATTATTTGGCAGAGAATTTGACACTTTAATGATGGTCTGGGCCTGGCTGGGGCGATGGCACGCGTGCCCACAGAGAGGGCTCTGAGTGCCACCTCTGGCACCCGTGCCATAGGTTTGCCACCACTGTCCTATCGGGTTTTCAAGACAAGAGACATCCAGAAGTGGTTTGCCGTTGCTTGCCTCTGCGTGGGGACACTGGGCTTCCTTGGTGGTCTCCCACCCAAATACTGACCAGGGCTGACCCTGCTTCTCTTTGGAGATCTGAGATCAAGCTAGCCCGGTCTAGCTGGGTCCTGGCAGGAATCTCTCCCGTGTGTGCAAGCTGGCATTTTAAAAAAAGCATCCTGTTACATTGTCTTGAGAGGGTATTCAGCAAGCTGTCATATTTCAGCTTCAGCCTGCTGTGTGAATTGCAGGGAGGCCCTGACCTGCATTACAGAGGTGTTGCCAAAAATTACCGAGAATGTATGTGAAGCACTTTGAATCCTCATCAGTCTATAGTGATACAGAGTGCTGTATCATTTCTGGGTGTTGGCACAGACCTCAAGTGAACAAAGGAGGAATGTGCGCTTGCAGAAATCTTACCAGATAACTTACAATCTTACCCAAGTCTGACCATGTGGTATGACTGTAAGTGCAGAGCAAGGGAAGGCTGTGAGGCTCAAGGTTAGAACTGCCGACTCTTGTGCCTTTTGACCCGTACTTTTGATTTGCAGTGATTAGCAACTCTGATATTCAGGTTTGTGTCACAAAAATACTTAACCTGATGGTTCCTGCATAGCAGACCTCTGTTAAAGCAAGGAGGGGTTCAAAGGGGGGGTCATTTGACAACCTAACATATAGGGAGGAGCGAAAGGGCAGTGGAGCCCTCCCATCTTGGCAGCTAAGCATGGTCGGCCCTGGCTAGTATTTGGTAGACCCCCAAGGAATATCTGGGTCCCACACTAAATAATGCACTTTCAGTCCCCTTTCAATGCACCTTGCAACTGGATTTTGCTGCGTGAAATGGCAAAATCCACTTACTGAAGTGGATTGAAATGAGGGTTGCCAGCTCTGGGTTGGGAAATACCTGGAGATTTCAGGGAGCAGACTGGAGAGGGTGGGGCTTGGGGAGTGGGGGCCCTCTATAGGGTACAATGCCATAGAGTCCACCCTCCAAAGCAGCCATTTTCTCCAGGGGAACTGATCTCTGTAGTCAGGAGATCAGTTGTGAAAGGGGGGGATTTCTGGGCCTCGCCTGGAGGTCGCAAATAACATTATTCCGCATGTGTGAAAGCGCCCTGCCACTGAATGTCTCTTGCCTTGAAAATTCTACATGGTCACAGCACTTTCCGCCTCCACCAGCTCATTTTCTCTAAAGACCCGCTACTATAGACACGTAAGTGGCCTTAATTGGCTGAGAGGTTGGCCAGTTTTTCTAAGTGGCCCTTTCACAGTGGTTTCCTGCGCAGGAATCAGAAAGTGAAACTTTTCTTCGCAGTGGGGGGTGGGGTGGGGTGGGGGGAGGAACCATATTACTGGATCGGTCCTGTTTTGCAAGCCACTCTACAGGCACAAGGACAGGGGCTGCTTGAAAAGTGTAGTGATTGGTTAGTGTAGTGGTGTAGTGGTTAGGAGCGTGGACTCCAATCTGGGAGAACCGGGGTTGATTCCCTACTTCACATGCAGCTGCTGGTGTGACCTTGGATCAGTCACAGGTTCTTTCAGAGCTGTTCTCTCATGGGCAGTCCTCGAAAGATCTCTCTCAGCCCCACCTACCTCACAAGGGTGTCTTTTGTGGGAAGGGGAAGGGAAGGAGATTGCAAGCTAAACCGCGGGGTATAAATCCAATCTCCTCCTCCTCTTCTTTTTCTTCTTCAGAATCTCACTCCACACCTGAGAATTCACTGAAAGATTTCCCCTGTTAATTCAGTGAGGGGCTTCCATGCACACTGCTTGAACCGGACAGCTCCACCTTCTAGGTCTTGGGTCAGGAACACTAGGCACCCCGCCCCCAAAGTAAAGAGGGCAAAATCTTACAGACAAGGAAGAGCTTTATAGGGGCTCTGAAATCTGTGGCCAGTGCCTAAACGACCTTGAAAAACTGGTCATAACATATCAGAAAAAATGGTACCTTTGAGCAAGTGTAGAGCACCTTTCTGTCACTGTTGAGTAAGCACAGCTAGGCTTTAGGCTAAGCAAAAACAAAGCTATGTTATCTCAGAAGCTCAAGTTCCAGTGCTTCACTTCTTAGCGATTCAGTGCTGAATAGGAATCTACTGAGGAAGAATAGCCTTATTGCTCTCTAGAGTTCCCACCCCTCTTTGCCCCCTCCCAACTAATGCCTTGGATCACAACCTGGCATGCAGACATTCCCAGTTCAACTGATGAAGCCAGTCCCACAGAAAGCAAGGTGGCTCTGTGGGATCAGGGTAGAAATAGGAGTCCTAATAAGGGACGGGAGTTAGAAACCACAGGTAGTTCCTTGCTTAAAAGTTGGTTGGTGGCTTCTTCCCTCTCAAAATGAGAGTGTGTGTGCGCTTGCAGTGTGGCACAGTGGTTAGAGCATCTGAGTAGAACTGGGGAGACCCCAGCTTCACAGTTTTACTCGGAAGCTCGCTGGGTGATCTTGGGCCAGGCACTCTTTCTTGGCCTAACCGACCTCACAGGGTTGTTGTGAAAATAAAATCAAGGAGGGGAGTACCAAGTCTGCTGCCCTTCCTTTGAGGAAGGGTGGGATGAGAATGAGGGAGATGCACCTCTTCCTCCTGCTCTCGCTCTCTCTAGCCAGCTGCTTTGATCCAAGGTTCAACAAACTGTACTTGCAAGTTAATTATCAACCAACTCACAGTTGTGGGGACGACCCAGTGCGTGAATTCTAAAAAGAGAATTTCCAGAGCTTACACCACTCTAGAATTTGTGCCTGGAAACTCTTAACGCCTGATACATCAGGCTAGGATCACCAACCTTTCTACCTAGCTGGGCAATACAATACAGGAGGCGGAAATATGGCACCTCAAACATTACCTAATATGGAAATTCAGCGGTGGGGTGGACTTTCACCTGCAGACATTTAGCCAGTTGCACAACTGTTAAACTGTAGGAGCCTTTGGGGGGGAAAGCGTGCAGCCTTACTAATACACTCTGCACATGCTCAGAGGCACTCCGGGAACTTTTGAGCCTGTGGGCACATTTGGAATTTTGACACAGCATTGTGGACACAGCAACAAAATGGCCGCCAGGTAACGGCTATTGCAGGAGGCAGAGCCAGCCACAAAATGATTGCCACAGTGTAACTTCATTAACACAGTGTAGATTCTTGTGTTGTGGTGGCAACTGATGCCAAAGCATCATTAAAAAAATCTGCATGGCCAATCCAATCTCCAATAGCCATTCAGAAGCCTTGCTGGGCAAAAGCCCTACCTGGCCCCACCCAATTCCTAAAAACACTTGGTGGATGCCAGAAAAAGTGTTGGCGCCCGTGGGCACCAAGTTGGAGACACCTGTGTTAGGGGTTAAGGTCTGACGAACTGAGCTTGAAATCAGATCCAAATTAGGATATTCTCTTACCAACTTGGCTTTGAGAAACGTGCCAGGCAGAAAGGACGTCACCTTCTTAATAGCTCCTGTGCTTTTGACAGTTACCAAGGAGGGAGAAGATCAACAGGTGAAGCTCTACCTCGCTTGCAGATGCAACTGCTGAATTTCTACTCAGTCGTGCAGCCGTTGGAAAGAACGGGAGGTCTGCCAGGAAAATTCCAAATCCCTAGCTAGTAGCAGGGTTCAAAGGACAGCCCTTCCCGGAAAGGGGGAGGGGTGCAAGTTTGTTTTGAGTCATATATAATGAACTAGCAAACAGAGCAACAAAGAAAGAAAAGTCGGAGCCCAATTTGCACCTGGCAAGGACAGGTGTCCAGGACAAAAGGCAAAGGAACTGAGCTGGAGGGTGTGGTTACAGCAGCTGAAGAGAAAAGAAAGATAAAAGATCTCATGGGAAATGGGAAACCGGGGTGGTGGTGGTGGGTATCATTTTCAGGAACATTCCCCCTGGAATTTTCCTGAAAATGTATCTACTAAACCATTATATCATCATTTTGTGGATGTTAGGCTGGGTACCGGAACATTCCAAGCTCCCTGTGGGTAACTAGGTTCAATAATAAAGCTGGACTTACCTAGCAAGGTGGGCTTCACAGGTTATGGTTCACCTGGTATTTTTTGGGAGGAAGGAACAATATTTTTTGTGAGACATTCTGTTTCTGAGAGGGGGGCAAATTGCCTTGGAGACCCCGCAAGGCTGGGGATCTCCAACATACTGGTTCATATTGCCTAAGGCTAGTGGACAAACAAAGTCCTGCCCATCTGACCTCTGACCTTGAGGGCAGTGACTTCCAGAGTCAAATCAGAAGCTTCTTTTCTTGTCTAGGGAACTGGCATTCTTGGTTCTCAATGAATTCATCACAATTAAGTACTACACTGTATAACACATATAGTATTTTTTATATTCCATGCACTTATATGATGTGTTTCCCACTGCCTGCAAGAGGAGGGCCCCAAAATGACATTTTACCTCAGATTACGTATATCTTGGAGTTTAGTTCCATTGGATTCCACAGGACCGGATTAGGCCAAAAATCTCCCTGAGAAAATGTTTCCAGAAGGATCCAAAAGAAGGCAGAGAACATCATGTGGGTATTGCAGGAGAGAGTTCCAGGCCTAAGCGGTAGCGAGGGAGAACCGGCCATTCGCCTTGTGTTTGTAGTCCTGGGTGATTCCCTGGCAGCGCCAGACAACGGGCCCCATTTAAGACCTCGATTCATTTGCACTTTATGATACGCTTGCCTGGCACACACCCAATGCTCCAGAGAGCCTCTCACACATTTCCTCTTCTCGTTCCCGTGAGAAACAAAGGGCCTGTTTAGAACACTACAAGGTTCCCTGTATTAAAAAGGTGTCCCCCACCCCACCCTCTGCTGGTCTGCTGAGCCTTTCAACATGGACATGAGTGACAAATGTTTAAAAGAGGAAGCTTTCCCAAGCACTGAGTGCTGGGGAAAGTGGTACATTTTGAATGGGGGGAGAGCATTGCTCAAATGCAAAGGACATGCTTTGTATTCAGTGGTTCCCTGTATCCTGTCTTCATGCTCAGCACACCGGAGTAGGTTTGCCAGACTTAGAACTGGGCTCTTCTTACCCCTTTAACAGCAGCGCATCTGTAGCAATCATCAGGTGAGGTTTTTCATGACACTGAGATCAAGTTAGATCCAGGTGGGGTAGCTGTGCTGGTCTGAAGCAACAGAACAAAGTTTTGAGTCCAGTGGCACTTTTAAGACCAACAAATTTTAATTCTGGGTATTAAACTTTGTTGGTCTTAAACATGCCACTGGACTCAAACTTTGAAGAAGAAGAGAATAGGAGATTGGATTTATACCCCGCCCTTCACTCGGAGTCTCAGAGCAGCTTACAATCTCCCTCCTTTTCCCTCCCCACAATACACACCCTGAGAGAGGTCTTTCGAAAACTGCCCTTGAGAGAGCAGCTCTGAGAGAACTTGTGACTGACCCAAGGTCCCACCAGCAGCTGCATGTGGAGGCATGGGGAATCAAACCCGGTTCTCTCATATTAGAGTCTGCACTTTTAACCACTACATCAAACTTTGTTCTATTGCTTCAGACCAACATGACTACCCACCTGAGATATGACAAGATTGGGTGAGCCTGGGCTATCCAGGCCAGGGCATTTAATACCTGTTCATTTCTTGACCAATGCATTCCTTGGTTCATGCATGCCTTCTGATCTAGAAGTTCTTTCACGGAACCTTAGAAGTGTGGGGGTTGGTTGTAATTCCCCCCACCTTTTGTTTTGATGCAGGGAAGACATTCACATGCGCACTGGATCTTACGCTTGCCAAAGGTAAGAGCTAATGACCTGGACTATAAGAGTGTGCATCTTGCTGGTCATGAACATAGCTTTTTCCAAAGACTGATAGCTGGGCCCTCAGACCGAGAAGATGATCTGTAAAGAGGGTCTTCCAGCATATTGTTCCTCTCTGAAAATCAGGTGTGCAGGGGCCAAATTCAGATCAGAACTATTGAAAGGAGGGAGGGCTCCTGCTCACCCCCCACACACACACACAGTTTTCTTGATCTGAAAAGGACTTGGGAAACTACTGCTTGCTCTACTGGGAAAATGTCCAGGTTCTGTTACTTCTTCTGAATTAAAAGGAGGCACTCTTCATTTGAAAACATTTACTTTTTGAGTGTGTAGCAGTACAAAGCCCCTGTACCCTACTCTGTGTGTGGGTCTGTTTGTGTGCTAGCAAGTGTTCTGGCTGTGCCTCTTGATTAGGAGGTGGCCAATCCAAAACCAAGAGGCATGCAGAGACACGACATGCAACCACCTCTGAGGTCACCGATCATTCTTTTTGCATATCTGCATCAGAAGTGATCCAATGAGCCAGTGACACCCCATGCAGAGCCACGCCATACCTTGGACAGTAATTGCTGATGCGATACATATTGTTAGCAAGGCAAGAGACGAAGTGTGATTTGGCACCATCGAGGGAAACTGCAGCAGCTTGACTAAAGAGGAAGTGTCTGTCCCTTTAAGAGTCTTGGTTCCCCAAGCCAGCCGTTGCCTTGGGAACCCGGGAAGGTGAATTGCACCTGTGTTGGCTTAGACAAACAATGGGTACTGTGTAAATTGGCAGGGGGCCAGAAAGTTCAGGTTGCACCACCCTCCCCTAACTGAGGAAAAAGAGGAAATTGGGCAATCCTTCTGGTTGCGGGACTCAGAATCTGTTCTCGAATGTCACTGTTGAGTTAAGGTCTGCTGGTCAAAGCTCAATCCGTGATTGTGTGTGCACAGGGTCGCCAGCTTTCTTACGGTCCCCTGCTCTTGTGCCTTTAGCTGATGTCAGCAGATCAAGCTGCTGTTAAAGGCATAGGGCCCGGCTAAACCATTCCTTTCAGGTCAGTTGGCAAAAGTTACTAAGGACCAGTGTACTTTTTTTGGCCTTTTATTATGCTCAACCCTATGCCTTGTGCTTCTCCCCCTCACTGCAGATCTTTGACAACACGGTGGACAACGCTCGCATCGTCCTGCAGATCGACAATGCTCGTTTGGCTGCCGATGACTTCCGTGTCAAGTGAGTGTGGTTTCCCCAGCCCCGCCCCACCCCATTTGACTTGGCCAGTACTGTTCAGGGACCCGTCCTGTGAGACTCTAGAGATTATGCTGCCAGTGAGTGCAATTTGAACAAAACACTCCGTCTCTCTTGCTAGAATCTCTCACACATACCCTACGATTTGGGCACATATTGGGAAACAAGGAACCAGACCACAGGGGTATCCTCTCTAGAAATCCAACACCTTCCATTTCCAGGAATCCCATTTCCAGTGATTGGCATTTCCCCTTTCCAGCAGATCAAAAGCCATTTGGGTAGCAACCAGTGCCAAGCTCTCCCCATACAGATGTAGAGGTGGAGCACAGCTGTCTACCTAAAACCCAAGGGAAGCTTTCACATGGGAACCAGAAGTGAAAGTCTTTTCTTAGCACTGTGTTCAGATCGTCTTTCTATGTGAGCCTGACATCCTCCAAGTGGAGCCTGGAGTTCTTCTAGGATTACAGTGGATCTCCAGACTACAGAAATCACTTCCCCTGGAGGAAATGGTATACCATAGAATCTAGGTGAAACAGAAGTCCTAGAGTGACATCACATCTCCACTAAGCTCCCTCCCCAAATTCTGCCTTCTCCAGGAACCAACCTCAAATCCCCAGGAATTTCCCAGGCCAGAGTTATCAACCCTAGCTAGAAACTTGGGGGGGGGGGGTGTCTTTATTTGAAAAAGTTCAGAATGCATCAGCCCTTTCTGCACTTCCATAAAATCATGCTGTAGACCCAGCCATAATAACCTATCAGTGGCGACCCACACAGAGCTAATACATTCCATATAGCAAACTGGTGACCGCCAAGACGACATCTGTTCTCTCATCTCGCCTAGGTACGAGGCTGAACTGGCTATCCGTCAGTCCGTGGAAAATGACATCCATGGCCTCCGCAAGGTCATTGATGATACCAACATGAGCCGTCTGCAGCTGGAGAGTGAGATCGAATCCCTCAAGGAGGAGCTGGTCTTTATGAAGAAGAACCACCAGGATGTAAGTCTTCTTGAGCTCCATGCATGGGGCAAACAGGAGCTGGGAGGTCAGGAGTAATGATTTGTTGGGAAAGGAGCCATGTCCTCTAGTTGATGTGATGCAGGCCACTTACGGACAGTGCCAGTGACTTGGCCAGACAGGGGAAGGTTTGCCCTTCCCAGTCCACCTTGGTTCATTCCATGCCTTTCTCCTCACCTAGGAGGTCAACAACTTGCAGGCTCAGATCGCCAGCTCTGGTCTGACGGTGGAAGTGGACGCTCCCAAGACGCAGGATCTGTCCAAGATAATGACAGAGATCCGGGCACAGTATGATGTTCTGGCTCAGAAGAACCTGGAGGATTTGGACAAGTACTGGGGCCAGCAGGTATGAGAAGAAGCTTCTGAAACTCGCTAGGGATGGAACTCCCAACAGACACAAAACACAGTATGGCCATTAACTTGGTGGTGGTGGTGGAAAACGCTATCAGATCACGGCCGACGTATTGTGAGCCTATAGGGTTTTCAAGGCAAGAAAAGAGTACAGGTGGTTTGCCATCACCTGCCTTTGTGTAGTGATCCTGGACTTCTTTGGTGGTCTCCCATCCAAATACTAGCCAGGACCGACCCTGCTAAGCTTCATAGATCTGACAAGATCAGGCTACCCTAAGCTATCCAGGTCAGGGCGACCATTAACACTCAGATTAGAAGGAACACTGGTGGGGAGGCTTGAACCTTTGGGGCCCTACTTGTAGGTCTACCAAAGACATCTAGCTGGCCACAGAAGGTGGGACTTCATGGAATATTGGTCTAATCCAGCAAGTCTCTTATGTTCTCGTGGGCTTGTTTTCCTTGCTTCTGGAATGGAGATTGTCCTCTTTCAACCCAAATGTTCCCCAAGGTACTTCCGGGTTATCCTGGGAACGGGAAGTCCGTGATTGTCCAAAAGGTGAGATCCCACGGAAGTAATCCAAATGTTTTGACTCTCTTTTAGATCTCCGAAAGCACCGTCGTCATCACCCAGAATACCAAGGAGATTGAAAGCGCTCGTAGCACCATCACCGACTTGCGTCGTACCGTCCAGACGCTGGAGATTGAACTGGATTCGCTGCGCAACCTGGTACGGATTCACACATATGGGTAGCCTCTTTGGGTTCTAAGGGGAACAAATCTTGAAATCCAACATCAGTAACAGGGCTTACTCAATAGGTGTTGCTTCACATTCTAGCCGTCATCATTGTTTTGGATCTATGAGGGAAAAGCTCTGAAGGAAATGGCTCCTGCACATGTTAAAGGCATCCCCTTTTAAAAAAACAAAAACAAATTATGACTTTACACATCTGTCGTGGGCAGCGGCTAGAAAGGTTCTCTAATGGCTGCCACCACTCTGGTATGGGTCTCCTCAGGACGGTCCAAAGCCTTCCATACAGTCCTTTTCCAGTAGGTTTTCCCTTATAAGTAAAGGTTCTCTAATGGCTGCCACCACTCTGGTATGGGTCTCCTCAGGACGGTCCAAAGCCTTCCATACAGTCCTTTTCCAGTAGGTTTTCCCTTATAAGTGACCGAATGAGGCATGGGGACCCAGGCAGAGTAACAAACTAGTTTTATTAAGGGTACTTAACAATAATTATAATCCAGTGACATAGGAAAAATGAGCACAGTAAAGGCAGGTAAATCGGCAAAATAAGAAATCCTAACGCGTCTGACTATACTGTCCTAACTTTCTCTGGCTATTTCGCCTCAAGCTGACTCACCCCTTTTGGATGAGGGATCCCTCCTTCTGCAGCAGCCTCACACCAGTTCTGCTCCCGGAGAGAGAATCCCCTCCCACTTTGGGCAAGCCCTTTTATTTCTTCTTCCCAGGCACCACCCTCTACTCTTCTGCTGGTGTTGTTTTCCCTCCAAGTCCCCTGTTCGCCAATCACAGGGCCCAAAGCATGACCTGGGAAATGTTGGCCCTGATAACTACTCTAGTACAGGCTTCCCTGGAGCCACTAGGTCTCCCTAGAACCTGTAGGCCGCACTACTATGGGCCCAAGATCATGACAGCATCCTAGGCACTGAAAATGGATGTCAGAATTAAACCTTGGTGTGTCTTTAAAAAGAGGCCGACCAGGCTAGGCGAACTGCCAGCCATGGGGCCAAAGAGCCAGCTCTGCCCTTGAGGGAAAGGGATGCTATGCTGTGGTGGTATCTTGAATGCATAGAGATCTGGGAAGTCCCCAGTTCAAATCTTGCCTCTGCCATGAGCTCCCGAGGCTCCCTTGGACAAACTGCTGTCTCTCAGGTTCTCATGTGCAAAGTGGGGACAATATTACAGGCTTCTTGTAAGGATTATTGAGGCTGCATCCCTGTGACATTGCAAAGTGCGCTATCGTTGTGCTGTAGCGATCATTTGCAACTCGATTGTCTTGCCTACAGGGGACAATCCAGTTGCAAATGACTGCCATAGTGCAATGTCCTACAATGGAGGAGGGGCTGTGGCTCAGTGGTAGAGCATCTGCCTGGCATGCAGAAGGTCCCAGGTTCATTCCCCGGCATTGCCAATTAAAGGATATGGCAGTAGGTGATAGCGAAAGACCTGTCCCTGAGACCCCGGAGAGCTGCTGCCAGTCTGAATACTGACTTTGATGGACGGGTGGTCTGATTCAGTATACGGCAGTTTCATGTGTTCAATATGTGGATGTAGCCGAAGATAACCTTACATAAAGCATTTTGAACACTGAAAACACCACTGAAATCTAAGCATGAGGACAGGAGTTGTCAGCTGTCCCTCTGTGGGTCTGTGGAAAAGATTGGCGATATTTGGATGTATGATTTGTAGCATCTTTCGGAATGGTGTCTGTCTCGCACCAGCTCTTTCTTGCAGCCCTGAGACCCCGTTGTGGGTAAGTCACATCCGTGAAGTAGGTTTGGTTTTTCCAAAGCAGGGATGCCTCTGCTGCTCTGTCGAAACATGTCTTAACTGTGTTGAGGGAAGTGGCTCAAAGCGGGTGATATTCAACCGCGAAAGCCAAAGGATTCCAAGATCCCAGTTGGAGGCAGGAGGTGATACAGAATTGCCACTTGTGAGCAATATGAAGGTTGGATCAGCCCTGTGTTTTAAAAAATAATAAAGTAGAATCCCCCTTTGACAGAGAGCTGGTCTGGAGGCTAACCTGCACGAAGTGGAAGCTCGCTATGGCATGCAGATGGAGCATCTCAACGGGATGTTGCTGCGGGTAGAAGCAGAGCTGACGCAGGTGCGGAACGACGTACACCGCCAGGCCGAGGAGTATCAAGCTGAACATCAAGGACAAACTGGAGGCTGAGATCGCTACATACAGACACCTGCTGGAAGGCGGAGAGGAGCTGAGGTGAGCATCTTTTCTTTTTTTATATATATATTTTTTCCAGAGCAGAGCTGGAGGAATAGTAGAGCAAGGTCCTGCAGGCATCTTTGGCATTCTGACACTGGGTAGTGCACACAAGAACAAAATGGCTGCTGTAGGAGGTGGAGCCAACCACAAAATGGCTACCACAGGAGGCGGAGCCAACCACAAAATGGCAGGGAGCGAGGTCATGCATAAATCTAATAGTCACTCATCAACATTTCAGACAGAAACTCTGTTTAACCAGATGCCTTTTAATCTGCACAGCCAATCAGGAGCCCTGCTCGGCCAAAGCTCCACCAGGCTCCACCCATTTTCTAAAAACACCTGGCAGGCACCAGCATGCACTGTGGAGCATGTGGGCACAACGTTGGGGACCTCTGGTCTAGAGGCTGCTGCCACTATTCTGTTATAGGTGGCTCACTTCCCTTTCTCTGATACTTGACAACTGCTTGTTTCTAAATTTAAAAAGAGGCCTGCTTCCTATAATAAAATGTTAGCCTTCCAGTGTAAGGGTAAGAGCTGCCTCTGCTTGGAGGAGCCTTCAGTGTGTATTTGTGGAAGTCATTGTTCTGGCGAGCCTCCTCTGAGCACAGGTATTTCTCCTGTGTCTTTTCTCTGGGAATAATGGGGATTATTCAATCCCATCCCCTGGAGACACATGGCAGAATTACCCATCTCTGCAGAAGCTGACTGGAAGAAAGCCAATAGCAGAACAGTGACTCACACAGAGACCCAGTTGGCACCTCCTCTGTGGCATTACTGAAATGAGTTTATTTCCAATGGATCCTTGAAACTGCTCTAGGGTTAAGTGGAATATTAACAGAAGACACTCGGCAGGCTTTGCGGTTTCAGACCGACTTGGGACATTGTTGTGTCTTGTAGTTTTCGGATACCTCTTCTTCATAATGGATTTAGGATTCTAGAATTCATCAAACTGGGCTGACTCTATAGCACTCGGTGTGCCACTGGACTTATCCTTAGTATACAGCCTGCAAAATGGGGACGCTGGCAGATTCTCCAACTAGGGTTGCTAAAATGCATCATGATATTTGTACTGCCCCAGGATTAACCTGTCTCTTGTTCACTGCCTGTATTTTCCTTCTGCTCTGTCCCCCGCTCCCCCCCCCCCCCAGCCTGAAAGACGCCTTGTTGGAAAGCACCATGCAAACCACCCAGAAAATCCGTACCACCACACTCGTCGATGGCAAAGTGGTATCCGAATCATCCGAAAGCAAAGTGTTGAAGCGTTGACAGCCCTCCCATCCCCAGCCGCGCGTGGCAGAAAATGCCTCCCTGTGCAACAGAAGTGACCTTTGTCCCCAAATTGGAGGTTCCTTGAGAAGGGACCGGGGAGGCTCTCTGATCTTTATGAATGCCATTCAATAAAACAAATTGCTAAAAATGAACTGACTCCATATTTGAGTAACTCATCTGCCAGTTTTATCAAAATCCCCAGGGTGGAAATGGTCCTATTATAACATCAGGTTACGTAGGGTTGCCCACTCTGGCCTGGGAAGATTAGGGATGGAGGCTGGGGAGGGCGGAGGCTGGGAAGGTGAGGTACTCAGCAGGGTATAATGCCGCAGAGTCCACATTCCAAAGCAGCCATTTTCTCCAGGGAAACTGATGCAGTGGTTAAGAGTGGCAGACTCTAATCTGGGAGCATCAGGTTGGATTTCCCACTCCTCCATTTGCGGCTGCTGGTGTGACCTTGGGTCAGTCACAAGTTCTCTCAGCTGTTCTTCCGATAACAGTTCTCTCACAGGATGTCTGTTGTGGAAAGAGGAAGGGAAGGAGATTGCAAGCTGCTCTGAGACTCCGAGTGAAGGGTGGGGTATAAATTCAACTCTTCTTATTTTCATCTCTGTTAAGGATATAAGAACCCTGCTGGATCAGACTAGTAGTCCATTTAGTTCAGCATCCTGTCTCACACAGTGACCGTCAACCAGTTCCTCTGGACGGCCAACAGCAGGGGATAGAGGCCGATGCCTTCCCCTGATGTTACCTCCTGGCTCTGGGATTCAGAAACGTAGTGCCTCTAAATCAGATGTAATCCCAGGAAATCGCCACTACCTGGAGGTTGAAGGGGAAATCCAACAACAACGTCTGTGACAAAAATAACAAAGAGTCAATAAAGATATGTTGCAAAATCATTTACTGTAGTAATTCTGTAGAAAATTCTATTTTCGCTCACACGCTAACAAACGCTGCGCAATGTAAACAATCCGTTTCACAATATTTGCTTTATCTGAGCGTGTAGCAATCACAATTCTTATCAATTGCTACTTATCAACTCTTGAAGGAGACATTCCATGTTGACTCTCTAATAACAGAACCCCCAAGGTCTTCACAGTGTCAATGTTGGATTTCCACTTCCTCCCGTGATCTCTCATTTTTAACTTCAACTACCTGGAGGTTGGCAACTGTGATTAATTCAATGCCTTTCAGTCTTCAGGGAACCGATTTCACATTGAATTGTGGGACATGGGACCCCGTATATTAGGTTAAAGTGGATTCTCAAGCTGTCATTTGTAGCTGAGTAGCTACCTATAAGGGCCATTCATGAACCACAAGCGCATCCTAAAAACATGCCCAAGTCTCCCCTATGGCTTCACAGTGCTAGGGAAGATCTACAGGAGTAGGCAAGTTGTCTCTGGGAAAACCTTCCCCATGATTACTGATCTTCCTATTGAGGTGGTGTCAAGAAACATGATACTGGAGATTCATATAGGGTTGCCAGCTCTGGGTTAGGAAATCCCTGGATATTTGGGGAGCAGAGCCTGGGGAAAGAGGGGTTTGGGGAGGGGATGGACCTCAGCAATGCTATAGAGCAGTCATTTTTTCCAGGTGAACTGATCTCTGTCACCTGGAGATAATGCCAGGAGGTCCCCAGGCCCCACCTGTAGGTTGGCAACACTATTTAGTGGTGACTGGTCAAGAAGAATGTTTCTAACTCTTAGCTAGCTACTGTTAGGGTAGTGGTCTTACACCTTCCCAGATACCCATCTTGGAATGCGCAGAACTGCAAATGTGACAGGAAGCCACATGATATCACATGACACGAGTGTCACATGACAGGAAGAAGAGAGGCCAGGATTAGGACCTCGCTGCCCCCCAAGACGGCAAGCAAATGGACCAAGAGGGTCAGGAGACACAAGCTATGTAGCAGGAGGGATACTGTAATGAGGAAGCAGCCAAGAATCAGAGACACAGATGAGTCCTCTCTACCAGCGAGTGACTCTGCCTCGCTGTAAAGCTCACTGTGCATGTACCAGAATGCAGGAGACCTGGCTTCTTTATATTCTGTGCATGTTCCATAGCAGCCACTCT